TCCTCAACATAGAAACGGAAACTCCACAACGGTTGGATGAACAAAACGTGTATAAATTCAGCAAAGAACGACAACACTGCAACATCCTAAGAAATGAAGTGCCTCCATCGGCCAGATCTCCTTCATCCAAATCAACATGCCAAGTCAGGACATGCGTCGTCCTCAAAACAAAGGACACACATCGTCCTCGACACAACAAGGATGTTCCTGACGACTCAGTTATGGCACCACCTCGACCAGAAATGCCAGAACTCCCAGGTAACCCTCTGTCGGCAAAGAGCTTCAAGGCAACAAAAATGAAGGACAAAAGGCAGCCATACAGTTATGGCACCGCCTCGGCCTCGAAATGAAGGACGTTCCTGACGGCTCAGTTATGGCACCGCCTCGGCCAGAAACGCCCGAATTCCCAGGTAATCCTCCGAAGGCCAAAAGCATCAAGACAACAAGGATCTACTCCATTTCACTTCATCTACATCTCAGCTCAGAGAGCGGGGGACTCCTGATAGAGTATATGGGTCCAGACCCCATGACCCACATACTTCCACTACTACGAACAGGCCCAAGTGGCCCAAGCACAACAAACAAGACCCCGGGGACGTACGGCCTCCGGCACCTGAAGACCCTGAGGACGTACGACCTTCAGCACATAACGCCCCCCCCCCCCCCCCCCCGAGGACGTACGACCTTCAACACATAACGGTCCCCCGGGGACGTACGGCCTTCAACACATGGAAGACCTCGGGGACGTACATCCTTCAGCACATAACGGTCCCCCGGGGACGTACGACCTTCAGCACTACCTCCGTTAGCCAGACGTACGTCTCTTAGGCCTTCGTCTGCCACACCTCCGTCAGCGAGACGTTCGTCTCCCAGACCTTCGTCTGCCACACCTCCATCAGCCAGACGTTCGTCTGCCACACCTCCGTCAGCTAGACGTTCGTCGGCTACAAGGAGCTCACAGAGCCAGACTTCCATACTTAGCTAATATATTCGAATGTACTCAGCCCAATAGAGGCTTTATATTGTAATGGGCCTCCCAAACCCAAGACTTGAGAGCCCAACCCATATTTTCCCTATAAATGCTCCCATTGGGAGTAGTTGTAAGGGTTGGAAATTCATTAATACAAATCACTTCTCTCTCTAGCTCTCGCTTCTCTCTAAACTTATAATCTATCATGTATAATTATTAATATCATAAAATTAGAGTTTCAATAACAATCTGGAATGTATTTGTTACTTAAGGTATTAATGATGATTTAGGTATCAATATTTTTTTGTTGTAATAGTTTTACAAATATAACACCATGAGAAGCTACAGGCCGCTGCAATGAATTTGCATATTTACACCTAGTGGTGGGTCCGGTCCCGCTCCAGTGTCGATTCCATTCTAGTACCTTCATCCTCGTACCTTACCCCTTACCCCTACCCTACCCTACCCACCCAACCCCACCCCACATACCCTTTTTTCCCCACAATGACCCTACCCCCACCCCCCACCACATGCCCCTACCTCGGTCCCACCCTGATCCACCCTACCCTACAGCCAACCCTACCACCTCAACCCCACCCCGACCCACCCTACCCTACCCCCACCTCGTATATTACCCCTACCTTACGCCTTCCCACATGCCCCCTACCTCGTCCCCACCCTACAGCCATCCTACCTCGGCCCCACCATGATCTCGGCCCCACCCTACTACCATCCTATCCCAACTCCCTACCCCTACCTTACCCCAACCCCAACCCTACTCACCACCCCCACTCTAACCCACCCACTACCCCACCCAACTCCATACCCCTAGACCTTACTACCCCAACCCCACCCACCCCCACCCATACCTTCCTTCCCTACCCCGACCCCTACGAGTAGGTATGTGTGGGTATGAAGGGTTTTAGGGGAGTATGGGTAGAGTGTAAGATTGTGGTAAGGGTAGGGGTAGGGGTCAAGGGCGTGGAATTAGGTGTAGGGTGTAGGGTGGGGGTACGAGGTATAAGGGAAGGGTAGGGGTTAGGAGTATGGGTACACGTACGAAGTGATCGACCCCACATATTATATTATACATTTGTGTTCATGAATGTTTGTGTGTCTATATATGTATATGGTTATTTTAGACATTTTAATGTTAAACGGTGTTTTGAACCTTTTGAAGTAAACATGATCTTAGAACATGATCTTATTTTATGCGTCGCTTATTAACACGAGTCTTAATAAGCACCATTTAGTAACTCGTGAAGTAAACGTGTCAGTCTTCTGGATGATCATAGAACTGGGTGAAAAAATTGATGAACATGTATTCAGCTTCGAAAATGGAAAACTGGAAAATAGAAACAAAAAACTGGAGATAGAAAAACTGAAAAATAAAAACAGAAAATTGGAGAACGAAAAACAGAAGTAGAAAATAGGAAAATATTTCTGTTAATAAACATGCCCTAAACATTTAAACATCAAAGTTGTTTAAGAGACATATATATAAATGGTTAAGGAGTTAGGGGATAAACATGGTACAATGCGACTTCCAAATAAAGAAAATATTCAAGTGATTTGACATTTACTTAATGAAATCTTCAACAGGTAAATGTACTTAAATTCAAGTAAATGCACATATATAAGTAAATGTACTTATTGGAGTTTTTTTAAACAATGCACAATAAATTTATTTATTTATGAACTTCACTTACCATATTTTTTTATTTAGCCAACTCAACAATTTTCTACTCTCTTATTATAATATTAGTTGCAGCTTGTCATATCCCATTTTGAGGATTGCATTAGAAAAGAGCTTTGTGTAATTATACTAAATTATATATTTGTATGTGAGAATTAAAGGTAATTTTAGTCAAGTATTGTAACTTATATAACCTTTATAACGTTTGTAGGATGAATATATATAGTACTTATATAACCTTTATAACGTACTAAAAGTAATATTTTTTTAGTATCCTTGATAATTTTTTATTTACTATCTCTCATGCTCCCATTATGATAGAATTAATGAGCATGATATATGGATTTCTCGAATAAAACATCATGTGCACATGATAATATGTTTGGAGGAATAAAAGAAAAAATAATTTGATAGAAAGATAATTAATAAAGCAATGAATAAGCTATGAGTGGAATTCACCTCCAATTGACATGTGAATATGAATTTTTAATGGAGTGTCATGTGGGAAATGTTACCTCCAATATGACTTGTAATTTTATTTTTTTTTACCCTACGGGGAAGGAGAGAGAAACTGGGGGAGTATGGGACAAACAAGGCTGAAATCCCTTAACTTAAATGGAATTTCAAACCCGAGAACTCAAATATGGGAGAGTAAGTCGGCGCCCAGCTGAACTAGACCGCTTCCTCTATATATGACTTGTAATTGTATAATGCTCCGTATATAGATAAAAAAAATATAGATGGGAACTCTCAAACAAAACAACATGTCCACATGACAATATGTTTGGAGGAATACAAGAAAAATCAATGTGATAGAGAGATAATTAATAAAGCAATGAATAAGCTATGAGTAGAATTCACCTCCAATTGACATGTGAATATGAATTAGTGTCATGTGGAAAATGTTACCTCCAATATGAGTTGTAATTGTATTTTTTTTACCATAGGGGGGTAGGGGAGATAGATTGAGGGAGTATGGGGCAAACAAGGCCAAAACTCATTCTATAGAATTTCGAACCCGAGACCTTTCGTATGAGAGAGTTAGTCGACGACCAGCTGAGTTAGACCACTTCCTCCTATATATGACTTGTAATTGTATAATACTCCGTATATAGAAAAAAATATATGCGAACTCTCAAACAAAACATCACGCCCACATGATAATATGTTTGAGGAATACAAGAAAAATTAACGTGATAGAGAGATAATTAGTAAAGTAATGAATAAGTTATGAGTAGAATTCACCCCAAATGACATGTGCCAATGAATAGACATGGATCTCACTTTTTCTTTTCATCCGTAACATTCATATCTTCCCGTTTCTAAATATTACATCATACCCTCCATAATTTTGAAAACAATACACTATTATAACTACTTTTTTGGATTTATTCTTTATTTCGGTCCACTATTTCATTATCTTCTCATCCTTCCCTCAATAATTATACATATTTCACTATTTGATTGTGAGGTCCCATCTCTTAACCGGAGGGGACACCTTTGGCTTCCGCCCTTCAATCTCTTTACCAGAGAGTGAGAAGAAGAGAAAGAGGTCCTCATTCGGAGTCACACATTGAGAGCCCGTTTGATAACACTGAAATCGGCTTAATTGGCTAATTCTGCTTAAATTTATGGAGTTCAGGCTGAAGTGATTGTATTGGTTGATTCTGCTGATTTATGAATAAATATATTTAAAATATATTTTATCAATAAAATGAATACAAAATTAAATGAAAATAGCTAAAATGGTTGTCTATTATAACTTTAACTTTAGCCAATATAACCAGAAAAATAACTACAATCTTACCTTTTCTTATTATTACACAATTCAACGCGCGAAATCAAAAGTTACGTGTTTCGTTAATAAGTTGGCTGATAACCCAAAAAACAGAGTAACCAAACGGGCTCTGACATTAGGAGTCTCAATGCCGCTTTAAAGCCTTGCCATGTCCTTTTATTTTATTGAGCTTTAAAGTCTTTTATAATCTCACTTACTTTTAAATGAGAAGATATGAATGTTATAGATGCACAAATAGTACTCCCTCCGTTCCAAAAAGATCGGCCAATTTGACTTATCTTACTCAAAGTATAAAAAATCTTATAAAATATTTCATAAAAGTATAAAATTTATAAATTCTACACAAATTTAATACCTAAAATCATTTTCTAAACTTTGATACCATCAATAAGGAAAAGTTAAATTGGTTGATAGGTGAAGTAATAAAGAGAGCTACTCTCCACATTTTTAATTTAATACTCCGTACAAAATATTTCTGGAATAGTCAATTAACACCCGGAGGCTGTGTCCCTGAACAGTACGGAGTACTCCGTATAATTAAAGCCTTTTTTCCGAACTTTCCCCCGCCGTGTTTAGTTATTCCAGCTGCTTACCTCAACCGAAAATCAATTAAAAAAACAATTGCAGGGAGAGAGCGACAGAGACACTCAGAGCAGAGCAGAGCGGAGCAGTGTGTTGTGGCCATCGCTTATGGGGCTGCTAGCAAATGCCCTGGCCATCGCTTTCTCCGCCTCCAATGGCTCTTTCGGCACTGATTCCCAAGACATCCACTTCGGCAACCCCTGGTGGTTCGTCTACGCCGGCGTTTCCTGCCTCCTCGTACTCTTCGCCGGCATCATGTCCGGCCTCACCCTCGGCTTGATGTCCCTCGGACTCGTCGACCTTGAGATTCTCCAGCGCAGCGGAACCTCTTCCGAGAAGAAACAAGCTGGTTCGTTCCCTTCTTTCTTATCCACCATTTTAGCTTTCCTCTGTCTTACCCGCCGCACATTGGCGCTATTTATGCCTTCTTTAAGGGAAAAATTAAAAAGGCAATACTTTTAAGAGGTTTGAGGTTCTTTATGGCTGATGTGGCCGATGTGGGATAACTTAAAGCAAATTAATTTTGAAGCTCGCGTGTTCTTTATTGAGTCTTAATTAGACCGATTGCTCTTTTGAGCTCAATTGACGGATATTTAGATCAACTGTATTGGAGGTTTCGTATAAGCTGGATTGTATATTTATTAGGATGGCATACAAGGAGCTTTGTGTGTTCAATCACAATTGAGAGCAAATACCTAGCTTAAATTATCATAGTATATGCTGTTTCATACGGAGTATTAATTTATACCTATTCATCTTCTCATTTTGTGTTCAAATGCCCAAGACGGGCTAACTCATTTTGTAGGCCCTTGATGAAGTCCCATATCATAATACATTATTAAAAGAAACTCTGATAAGACTATGGGTTGAAGAGTTAAAAGAGGGTGTGTGAAGGTGCAACTCAGATAATTAGTACTGAATTGAAAAAGTCCTTTTTTTATTACAACTTTAAGACTTCGGGGCACGGAAAAGGGCTTTAAGCCATTACATTTCTATTGAATTCTGGTTTCTTATTGCCTTGTCTTGGAACTTTGGCGTTCAATGTGATTAAATCAGTACAAAGGAAAAGGAGAATTGGTGGACTTCGAGGTCCTTCATTTTTCATGGCTGTAAAACCTAATTAAAATGTTCTTGGCCGCCCCAACAAGGCCTAGTCAATTTGCTTCGTTGTGTCCAATATAACTCTTTTATAGTTTTTCTGTTTCGCATGCCATTCTTGAATAATAATTAACTCTCTGTTTTGTGTACCATGCATATGCAATTAATAGTTTTTACTGTTTTGTTTTCTTCAATTAATGGTTGTTGTTGTACTGCTTGTTTTCAGCAATCATTCTGCCTGTCGTTAAAAAGCAGCATCAGCTTCTCGTTACCTTACTTTTGTGTAATGCTGCTTCCATGGAGGTATATCCACCTCTCTATTATTACAAACCTTGATTCAGTAGCAGAGTTGATGTAGTTTAACAAATTAAGATTTTTTTTCATACCAAGAAAGGAAATAGATCATGATTTTAAAAATAAAATTGAAAGGTATAATTTTTATTACCCAACTAGAGGAATCGTGAAGATGTATCCATGATGGATTAGTTAGCTTAATATTACAGCTGATTCAATGATTTGCTAATGCAATTTTCTTTCTCATTATGACTCTGCAGGCTCTTCCTATATATCTGGATAAAATTTTCCACCCTGTTGTTGCTGTTATTCTCTCTGTCACTCTTGTTTTAGCTTTTGGTGAGGTACTAGATTTAATGTGTATTTTCATCCCACCATAAAAACTGATTATGCTTCTTTCTGAAACCATGCTAACATGTGTTGATATTATTCTGCTCTAGATTATTCCACAGGCAATATGCTCTAAATATGGACTTGCTGTTGGTGCAAATTTTGTGTGGCTTGTGCGTATTTTGATGATTATTTGTTTTCCGATAGCGTACCCTATTGGAAAGGTAAATTTCATGCATCACTTGTTACAACATTTGGAAATTGCAGAATAAGTTGTTGGTTTTGCCTTTCTTTTGAACTCCTTGGAGAGACTTTTCCTATTTTTGGGAAATTGCACCTGATTTTGCATAATGTGGTGGAAAAGATTGAACATTTCATTATCATGGATTTTAGTAATAGGAAAGCACATTTCACAATCATCGTCCATCCTTATTATGGATTTTAATAAAAAAAACACATTGATTCTTGTGGAAATAGCACTTTAGGTTGAATCATGTGTAGGAAAAGAATGGTCATTATCATCTGTTTCAGTAAATTATTTTCAAAATGATGTATCCAATTTTTTAGTAATTTAAGATTTCAACCATACCATTAGGAGAGTTGGGGGGGAGTGTTTTTGTGTTACCTTGTTTGGTCTTGTTGGAGTGGAGGAGAAGGGAAATGTGTTAATTTAGACTCTCCTCCGAAACCCCAATTGGAGCGTTAGAAAATAAAGGGGGAAGTGTGAGGGGTGACTTAAACATTCCCTCCAAAAAAATTAACGAAATGATTAGCGGGGAGCATCCCCCCTCCACTGCAATAACCTCAATCTGACATACCCATATGAAGACTGTTAATATGTGCTTTACCAGTCCAGAATTTATTTGTTTTGCAAATGCGTGTTGTATGTCTATCAGTTTATGTGACATTGATTTTGGTGATTCAGCTTCTTGATTTGGTACTGGGACATGGTGATTCTTTGTTCCGGCGTGCTCAACTCAAAGCCCTTGTCTCTATCCACAGCCAAGAGGTAATTTTTGTTCATTCTTGAGAGTTAAAAACAATTAAACATATTTCACTAATAGTTTATGAATCATATGGTACATGGTAGATTGGTATTTTACTTTATGATGATGAATTCAAGCATAATATGATATTTCCAGGCTGTAACTAGGCTGCTCTCATGATATGACAACTTCTTTCTTTTGCTTTAGGCTGGAAAAGGTGGTGAACTTACTCATGATGAGGCTACCATCATCAGTGGGGCACTTGATTTGACTGAAAAGGTCTCATATTACTTTTGATATCTCTGATTTCTGAATTTCTAGTACAAAGTTTGTTGGAATTAATAATCTTATGAGGGAAAAACATAAAATTAAATCAATTTAAATCTTATGTGCCAGTGTTGGAACAAAAACTTAGATGAGCTGTATTTTATTAGTAGCAAGTAGAACTCCAGAAAGTTAGCAAGCTCTTCCTTATATCTTACTCCTTAGTATATTACTGCCCCTGGGGAATCCCTTCCTAATGCATATTCCGGATGATGAATCTTGTTGTTCGAATTCATGTGTACAATACATGCTCTTTTTTACCTTCAAATCTTAATGTACAGAATTGTGACATCTTGTTTTCTGAAATATGCGCAGACTGCAGAGGAAGCAATGACACCTATTGAGTCTACCTTTTCTCTGGATGTCAATTCAAAATTGGACTGGTGAATTTATTTATCAAATCCTACATATTCTATCACTTTATCTCCCTCTCAACCTATTTTGCACTTCAGAAATCTCTAATAGCTGACTCCTTAGAGAAAATTGTGCGTAGTTTTTATAAAAGCCAAGACATCCATATTCTCCTAGACTCTTAGAATAAAATCTTCAAGACTTTCTGAAGAGTTTTGAACTCTTCTGACCTTGAGATTCGTGCCATTTTTTGCGAACAACTAACAGCAATAGTCAACACAAACCTAGCAAGAGTTTTGGACTCTTCTGACCTTGAGATCCGTAATTAATTGTTGTGAACATTGGATTTTTTGCTTTACACACGTTCATCTCAAAATATGAATCTGCGCTTCACTCATCTTCTTCACTATATCTCTCTTAACAGCCCAACTCTTTATACCTATAGTAAGGCTAGCTTATCGCAGTCCTATACAAAGCAAAATCAGGAATAAAAAGATATCTTCATCATGTCATCACATATTCTTGTTTTTCTTTATTTGCTGGACCTAGTTGGTTTCTGGAAGTCTGAAACCACCTATGAAACCTTACCTTGCACTTGGACAGGGAAGCAATAGGAAAAATTCTTGCCAGAGGCCACAGTCGTGTTCCTGTATACTCGGGGAATCCGAAGAACATCATTGGACTTCTACTGGTCTGTGTGAAATTTAAATATTAAGATTCCATTTCAGACGTTATCTTATTTTACATATGACACATCAGAGGATTAATTTCTGCTTTGACTGTTTTTCTGGCAATACAGGTTAAAAGCCTTCTTACTGTGCGGGCAGAAACAGAGACTCCTGTTAGTGCTGTTTCCATCAGGAGGATGCCTAGGTTTGTCACCTCCTCCCAATCTCTATCTACCCTTTTAGTAGACAATCACATTCAGAAGTAAGTAGGTCCATAGAAATTCTTTCAGGGTTCCTGCAGATATGCCCTTGTATGATATTCTCAATGAGTTTCAGAAGGGTAGTAGTCATATGGCAGCTGTAGTGAAAGTGTGCAGGAAATTTGAGAATCACCCTAATCATGAAAGTGATAAAGTTCGAGGTGCCAAATTTGAGAATGGAGATTCCCACTTATTAACATTACCCCTGTTGAAGAAGTATGCTGTGAAGGCAGATAGTATTGTGGTAAATGTTGACAATAACTCACTAGAGAAAACAGCAAGTAATGGAAGCGCTTTTCAGCAAAATGGTGCAGTGACCAATGGTTATACTGACCTTTCCGATGATATTGATGATGGCGAAGTCATTGGGATCATCACTCTTGAAGATGTTTTTGAAGAACTTCTACAAGTAAAATCTTTTCTGTCCATGTCTGTAAATTACTGAAATTATTAGTAATACATTGGGCTCTTTATAGATGGGTGTGGAATGGCTTGACAGTTGACACGATGTACTTTATCACGGGACATGTTCCTCTTATAATTCACAGGTCGTTTACTATTTTTACGAATGCAGGAGGAAATTGTAGATGAGACTGATGTTTACATTGATGTGCATAGAAGGTACTAAAGATCAACCTTGTAGTACAGCTTCCCATTCCTTTCCACCCCTTTTCATTGACAGTTAATGTATTAGCAGTTAAAGCCTTGTTTGGAACTACTATAATTGCAGAATACGAGTTGCCGCAGCAGCAGCAGCTTCATCTGTGGCTCGAGCACCTTCTGCTAGGAGGGTGACTAGTGGTCCAAAAGCTCCGGTAAACTCTGAAATGTCCTCAACTGCCTGCTTTATCATTATCATCTTGTCTGCATTGTTACCATGTATTTTCTTGGATACATTAAAAAGGCTCTTACTTTAGTCCTAAAGGTCAAACTCAGCATGAGTATCCATCCCAAATATTTATTTGTTGGTTTGTTTTAGACATACATCCACTCACAGCGAGATACATCATTTTAACTACATAGTTTTTTCATCCTAAAGTTTATCCGTGAAGGATCACAAAATCTGGTGTGTTAGTTTTTGTTGCGTTAAATTCAGTCGATGTAGGACAAACTTTCAACACATACACAATATATTTCTACAAACATAATGAATCTGTAAACCTAGAGGCTGTAGAGAAGTGGCAGGTTAGTTTGAATCAAACAATGAATTAATTCGTACTTGAAAATGTACTCAAATTACACAAAATTCGGATCGAAAACGTCATAAGTTATTAGAAGAGAAACAAACCAGACAGGGTCGGCCATATGGGAAGTAGGTCTAGGAAATTACAAGGGCCTTACTTTTGGAGGGCCTCTTTTTTACATACATTTGTAAAGAATTAGAAATATTTATCATTTATGTACACAAAATGAATATGCAAAGATATGTTGTTAAAATTTCATTGAGAGGTATAGCATTAAATTACACATTGCATTTTGTTTGATATTAAAGATAATTTTTGTATGTTTTTATCACAACTCCACCTGTAATAGTATGGAGTGTTTTGTAGTGTTTATGTGTATGTATATATAGGGGCTCGAGATAGTGTTTTCCCAACAAATCGTGAACGTATGCACTTTTCCATCAAGTGGCAGAGTTTATAATAGATATGTGACGCTCTAAACAAACGTTTTGGACGTGTTTGTAAAAGAACAATTCGGACTATGATTGGCCGATTTTTATTAATAAAGTCTAGAGCGCAAAGCAAGCAAGGACGACCTTGAAACAGGGCATTAATGAGTTGTCACGTTTCGTTACCAGGGAGGTCAAGGAAAGCAGGTGAAGGCAAATAAACCAGCTGAAGATGAATCAAACAGATAACATTGGTGTGCCAGACTGGCTCTGACTGTCTATTGGGTTTTCTATGTAAGTAAAGTGTTTCCCCAGCTTAGGGTCAGATGCTGATGCCAGAATTTCTTTTTGCTTGTGGCCTGCACCGTGTTAATATCAACATTAGATGACATTTTCCATCTCGGAAGACCATGCATATGCTTGAGACCTTCTATGCACTGTTTGGAGAAGAAATGTTCCCTAGGGTTTGATTCTTAGTGTGTGCATGTGTGGTGTTGTATTCCATGTTCATATAACATTTTCCACAACAGGAAGGGCTATTTATTCGGGTGCATGAAAGTAGCAATTTTGATCTTCACTGTAATCAAGATTCTCTTTGCCACTGTTTGGTTCTAATCTTTTCCTTCAAAATTTTACACTAGTTTATTTTACCAGTTTGCTCTGTTGCGTGGTCAAATCTTGAACTGTTGTATTTGTACTTGAAATGACTCAATATCTCTAATTGGGGGCAAAAATACTTCACATTTTACCTATACAATTAGGTAGGTACCCCAAAAGGTTAAATGTTGACCTTTTTGCTCCAAAAATAACCTTATGTCCAATGTGATTCTTCAGATCTAGACCTTAGTGCAGACCTCTAGAGTCTAGACTCTCAAGTCTTTGAGAGCAAAATATTGTGGTAAAAGGCTATGAATCTATGATTGTCATCTTTAGAGAAACTTGAGCAATTTCAGCAAAAAAAGAAGTAATTCCGTCCCTTTGGGGACATCTGGTAAAAAAAACTAATTCTAGTCTTGCCTGATTCCATAAAAAACTAAAACAGCTCTTTGGTGGTAAACAAAATTAATGTTTGGTACAAGTTTGATAACAATAAAATCCAAGACTTATTCTCAGGAGAGTTCGGGTTGATAGATGATATCGGATTTAAGAACAGTAAATAGAGAGAGGGATATCAATAACATAATATCGAGAGTAGAAAAATTTCATAGTCAATATTTACATTTATAATTTATTTTATTAATATTAATTTTAATTTTGTGTGTTTATTACGTGTGAAATACTGAAATGAATTTTATGGTATACTCAAACGAGTATAACATATAAAAGAAATTAACATTAGTATGATATTTTATAAAATGGACATATCAAATATTTCAGATGAGCTCATGAGCATACAATGATGAATATACTTGGACGAATAAGTTTTTTTTAAACGATTGTGATAACTGATACATGTATGAATTATAGAAATGAACCTTATGTTATACGGAGTACTTGAATAAGATTCAAAAATGATATTAGTATTGCATTATAATTGATCATAAAAATTTAAATGAGTGTAAAGTAATTATGAGTATATTGTTTAAAAACATGTGTATTGACTATTGATGTAACATTATATTATAAAATGAACACAACAAAGTTGATATGCTTATAAATTATTTTTCTTAATAATTTTTATTACAGAAATTACTAATAATTGAGTAAATAAACCTATTTATGTTAAGGTTGTTTGTGCAGAATATATATTACTTTTATGAGTTACTGAAACGAGTGTTTATTTATGTCGAAATGAGTATAAAGTTTACAAGGAATATGAATTAAAATACCGTTTCAAGAAGAACACTATTAAGTTTGGACTATTGAATTGAGTTTTTGTTATACTAAAATGAGTATAATCTTTAACATAAATGTGCATTGGTGTAACATCATGAAACTAACAACATAAAGTTTACAAGTCTAAAATATGTCTCAGTAGAGTGTTTTTCTTTCTGCATTTGTAATCATTCTCATATATAATTTTATCATATAACTAAATTAATTTAATTATATAAAATTGGTCTGTAATGAATACATTACATGTGTGGGTCATAGAAGTGAATTGTATGATATACGTAAATGACTGTAACGTTTAAAAGAAATGAGCATTTGATATTGCTTTTGGATATTGAGACACTAAACAACAGGCCGGCCCAACATCACAAAAGTAATCCTTGACTTTTAAATGCACAACCACCAAGAGCGGGCGCCTATGTCACGTCCCAGAATGGATCTAAGTGCGTGTACAATCGCCGCACAATCAAGGGACGTTACCCGCAAGTCAACCTCACTTGATTATACAAGGTGTCCATGAATATATTTGATACCATACTCAGTAAGTAAATATACATAACAACATCACACTTAAACCAATGAATAGCGGAAATATTCAACGGTAACTCATGGGCCACATCCGGCCAAAACATTGGCTCACAGGCCCAAAACAATTTATAGAAATCCAAATATTCATGAGCAATGTTTTTAATTCTAAAATTAGTAGGAAGCATGAACCACGTGTTCCTTGATGAGACTTCACCTGATTTCATAGGTGCAGGTAGCTAGCAAGCTCTAGTTCCAACTTGAAAATGGTAGGGCCCCCGAAGGAGTCAGTACACTCGTACTAGCGAGAAGCAGTTCAAATGTAGAATAACTTACGTTTCAAGTATAAGACCCAAACATAGGATGATACATATGTTTATATTTCTCCCCCCAAGTCTTGAAATACATACAAGTATATACACTTAGAATAAAATATTTGACCCTTGACCCGTAGGTCATTGTTTACTTAGGAAATGATAGTAGTCATTGACTTAAAACCCAAAATCCACACAAATACCTATGAGTGTAGACTATGAGTTTTGAGTGCTAGCAAGTCCAGTCCCTGGGTACTCCACCAATTATATTCCGAGTTTTGAGTCTCTCGGTACTCTACCAATTATATTCCGAGTTTTGAGGACAGTCCAGTCCCTGGGTACTCCACCATTTCCTATGATCTACCACATATCATTCTTATATGGAGTCTATATCATAATCAATAATCAAGAATAAACCAGGTCTTATAGCCTAAGCACAACAATCCATGCAAAACCATGCAAATAAATCATGTTGGGCGAAAACAGGACCAAACCGACGCCGGTTCTGCCTATAACCAGACCCGGTTCCATTTAGTTTAATTAAATGGCCATCCCCGTACTCAAACCGGCGCCGGTTCTAGCCCTAATCGGCATCAGTTGCTTGTCTTGCAACCGGTCAACGTTCCATTGACCCGCCATTTCAAGTCCAGTTTTTATAAAAGCTTAATCACAACGTGTATTAAGTCATAAACAATCATTTTATGTCATTTTGACCATCCAAAATATCACATATGTTTTTATATGCATTTTAAATTATTTACATGCATATTTCAATAGTTTAATTCATATAAGTCTAATCACCTTGACTAATCACATGCTTAAACTCTTTTAAACATCATTACGACCACATATAACATTTAATTAGGTAATCTTATACTTAACCCAAGAGTTATAAGACATTAAACCGACAACTCACCTCGAATGAGCTTTAAGAAGTTCTACCCTTTTCCGGTTGAACTCCGGCGAAACTCCAGCGAACTTTGTTGAACTCCGACGACACCTCCGATGACTATCTCAAATCCGTGAGAGTACTAGGAACACCTTAGCAAATTTTCTAACAAGTTTTTAACATCATTAAGTCCATATTAATACAAATAACCTCCAAAAGGTTATTTTCCGATGAACTGGTCACCTTGGCTTCTAAGTCCGTTCTTGGACTTAGAACCAATTTTCAATCCCTCATTCTACACTTGTAAACATGTAGAACAATCTTAGGGATTTTCATATGATATATAAGTCATACGATCATTGATGAGAAGAGAAAAAGTTGTTGTGGGATCATTACCTTAATCCTTCAAGTTTTTCCTCACTTTTTCCTACTCAAACATCTACCTTGGACCTTTCTTTGTTTGAACTTGAGCCGTGTCTATGGAGGATGAGTTTGCAGAGGTTCATTCTCTTGATTGAGCTTGTTTGGTCAAAAATGATAGAGGGGAGAGGGTGGAAAAATTAGTTTTGTCTCAATGAGCTAATGAGTGATGGGAGGGGGGTCCCTTTGCCTTTCAATCATGTCTCACCCATCCTCTCATACATCTACATCCATAAGCCCCATCCCATGTTCCACAGCCCCCAATTTGACCTTTGAGTGTGTAATTTCGTGGGGTGGTCCGCACTCATGTGGGAGATCATCCCTTTAAGCCCCAAAGTGTTTATTCGGCTCCAAAAATTGTATTTTCCTAATTGTTTTAATTAACTTCCATTTTATCGGGTCAAATAAAATGTATATCATTCTTCCAATTATTATGGGACTCTAGAATGAATATATATTCCTTAGCTTTAATTCAGTAATCCCCGGACTGTTATCTTTCAATTTATCGATACTGGTATATGTGCCTCGTTTGATCAACCGGACCACTATATGTTGTTTCTATGGCCCAATAAGAATGTACACCATCATATAAATATTATCTAGACCAAGATGAATATAATATGTGGTCCCAGAAATATCGGGTGATCCCCGCTCTCGGCGTGGGCCCCACATGCAATTTACTAATCACGTAAAAGTAATAAAAAAATTTTACAAGCTCGTAAATTCATTAACCATTTCTCAAGGTTCAATACATAATTTGGTAACGGTCCAGCCAATAAGGAAGCAGCACGTCGCCGAGCCCAACTACTACCAACTTACTATAAATAGCCCCTCATAATTCAAAATAGGGGATGATTGTTGAGCATTCAATAACATTCAATATCCTCCCTTGTGTAAATAGTACTATACCGAGTCATACATAAAGCATATTGTTTTCTTAGTTGTTCTTGAGTGCATTGTAAGAATCCTTCATCAATATGAATCAACTACATCTTGAACTTGCTTATTTCATATATATCTTTATACACTCGAACCGATCAACCACCCAATGTAATGTGTTGGACCTTCGGGCTGAGGGAAATAATCTCAACATGCATGATATTATAATATGAGCACAACAAAAATTTAGATGAACATAAGTGAATGTATTACATGTGAATTATTGAAATGAGTTTTATACTATACTCAAATGAAAATAAAATTTAACATAAATGAGCATTGACTTAATGTTGTATTATGAGCACAACACAATATTTAGGTGGGCATATAGTGATGAGTATATTTAAATGAATAGACTGGCGTTAACGAATACAGTACATGTAGGATTTATATAAATGAGTTTTATGTTGTACTTAAATGAGTACTAGGTTTGTAAAAACTACTACTAATTGAGTAAATACACTTAATTATATTAAGTTGGTTTTCAAAGAATATATATTATATATTGCCAAAAAGAATATATATTATATGTATGAACTATTGAAATCAACTTTATGCTATAACCAAATGAATTTTTTGTTTACAGAGAAAGTGTAGTAATATAACGTTTCAAAATGAGCACCAATACATGTATATTATATTACTGCACTTTAAATGATATTTTTACTACTTTTGTTATAAGTTTCCATCATAATTAGATTTAAGATGGGCATTCACTAGTCTTACAATATGTGTGTTAAGGTTCATTAAATTTTTGGAGTTCACAAAGATTTCTTAGATGAAGTTGTACAATTACTAAGATATTCTTTGCAACTAATTTTTTATCTATTACAAATTAGTAATCATAGCTAATTTTATCATTTGGAATGAGTTTATTATGTGCAAATTATTGAAATGAGTTTTTAATATACTAGAATGAGTATATTATTTATAATAAATGTGCATAAGTGAAATACGTAGTATTATAAAATGAACAAAATAAATTTTGTAAGTCAAGAATGACAAATTATAAATTATTTTTTGTGTTAAAATTGTTATATTCTCAATGAATAAATCTAATGATAAAATATTTGTTTTCTTTCCGGATCTTGTGCTTATCTTTTCCTCCATATCCGGTTTGAAGTGCTAAAGTTTGGGCGGCATAGCCGCATAGGAAAAGCAAGCACCGATCAATAATAAATCAGTATTTTAGCTTCATTATAATCTTGCTCGTGCTGCTTTTATTGTTCTCCATAATCAAATATATGGTTCTTTGTTTTTTATTCTTTCCATCCGAACGCATCGCATGGAGATCGGAAAGTCATGCTAGTGTGACTATGATGAGCGGACAATTTGGACAATTGGAAAGAGAAGTGATGCCTTGTAGTCGTTCTCCTCTCCAACTAGACTGAAGGTAACATCATTAGCAAAGGGTTTTGGTAGGAGTATGATCCAACTTGACTGCTCTACTTTTTTTTATTATGTTTGTTCTGTTCTATGGTTGTTCTTTCACGAGCCCTGATGCTCCGGTGTGTTTTGTCTCCCTCGATGTGGGGAGTTTGCTTCGGCGTTCTGGCTAGCTTTGCCTCAGGGGTTTCTAGTTGTCTTCTTTTGAGTTGCGTAGAGTATAGAAGGGGCATGAAGAGTGTTTGTGTCTCCACCCATTTCTACGTCTTTTTGGAATGAAGTAAGAAGAAGAATTCAGTGTTCGCCCATATTGTAGCAGTTCATCCTCCTCCAGAACCACCTCTGCGCCAGAAAGAGTTTTGTGGAAAGGCTTTATTCCATCATTATTTCTTCTCCAGTAGTACTTGCTTTTATTTTAGTTCGAGTAAGTTTGATTTTGATATTTGAATTTTTGAAGTACTTTTGATAGATAGTGTTTCGGTTCCGGTCGTTTAGGCTTAAAATTGCCCGTTTTGTGCCTAGCGAATCAGGTTGCTTTGTATGAGGTGACTTATTCTATGACTATTCCTAGGGCTTATGATTTGATCTGTTGTAACTGTCTAGAGGTTATCCTGTTTACTCTCTTGAGTTTAATATAAAAGTCGCTCTTTTATTTAAAAAAAATCTAATGAATAAATAGAAAATGAACGTAATGATATTAATTTGGGTTTCAAATAATTGTATTATACGTAGTATATGTCAGGTACTTTGTGGTGCGATGACATCACTGCAACACTCTAAGGAGGAAGTCACAAGTTCGAATCTCATCCCAATTCAAGAATGTTGACCTTTAACATTAAACATATACTCCCTCCGTCCCAGAAAATTCTTCCCAGTTTGACTTGACACACATATTAAGAAGGTGAAAATGTATGGTTGTAGTTGTGTAAGAAAAAAGTGAAATGAATGTGAACCACACAAATTGTCCAAAAATGGTAACTGAGAAGAATTTTTTGGGACGGCCCAAAAGGGAAAGTGGGAAGTATTATAATATGTTAGAAGGCAAAACAAAAAAAAAATGAATATTTTATATACATGAATTGTAGAAATGAGTTTTAGTTATATTTAAATTAGAAGGATTAAAAGATGAGCATTTATATGACATTATAAAATGAGTACATCAATAATTAAAATGAGCATACATAAATTACTTACGATTGCACACTTTGTTGTGCTTAATTTATAATGTCATATAATTACACATTTACTTTACACATTATACTCATTTTAGTGTATGAAAAAATCATTTTAATATTTCACACGTAATACACACATTGCAATTCAAACTAATAAAGTTGGCTAAGTTTACTGTTTTATATAGAAAAAATTGTCCAAAAAGAATATTTCAACCATTCAAACTCAGAAACTAATAAAAACATCTAAAATTTGTTCAAATATAAACTTAGAAAAAATTAGGAATATATATTCAAAGAAGAACTATTAAAAAAAATAAATGTCACATATGTCAACACGTATATATTAACCAAGTACAACCACCAATAAAATATTTCATCAAGAAAAAGATGAATAGTTGATAGCCATTTTTTTACGAATCAATTAAAAAAAAACTATACTATTACTAGTAAAAGAGGAAGAGGAGTATTTTTAATCAAATAATCATCCAAATTGTTATTTTTTTTCTAATTCACAATAACAATTTTTTATATTAATCACTACGTAAAAATTATATAGTTCCTCCATCTCAAAAAACTTTCGCCATTTTCAAAACTTTGACCAACTATACCTTTTTATTGGAAATTATTTATAATATAAAAAGTATATGATAATGTTCTTTGTTAAAAGTACTTTCATAAAAGTATAATTTTTTTAATTTCCATAATATTATACTAATCAAAATTAAGATTCAAAATTTATAAAATGGCAAAGTTTTTTGGGACGGAGGTACTACATAATTTTTACGTAGTGATTAATATAAAAATTGTTATTGTGAATTAGAAAAAATAACAATTTGGATGATTATTTGATTAAAAATACTCCTCTTCCTCTTTTAGCGTTGGCTTGGTGAATAGGTGAAGTAGCGTACGATCACAAAGGTGAATAAGAAGAAAGAATACAGAAAGAAAATACGAGGTACAAAACATGTTCAAAATTGAAGAAAATACAAAAAATACATATCATGACCCTGAAATTATAGCAGAGTGTATAGTAGGAGATGCTAATCAAGCAAGCCGAATCGCAAGTTACTTGAGATTGACTTACTTTTATTCGAACATATCTCAACTCGATTCAAACTTGACTCATACTCAAGCTCAACTCGAATGAAATCAAGTCAAACTCAAACTATATGCAACTATGCAAGCTCGACTCGAAAAACTTACGACCTACTCAATTATGAATTAGTATTGATTTTTAGATTCATAAGTATGATATTACATCATATACTTATAGTATGAGTTCAATGCATAAAAGTTATACTTGTCATCTAATAAAAATATATCAAAAATCCACATATTGTCTAACGTTTTAGACAATGTTTTAAAAGTGGTATGTGAACTTTAGGTCTTCTTAGACGACGTTCAAGCAAATTTAAGTACGATCAATTAAACTTAGTTCATCTTAAGTTTAATCTTAGGTGAAAAAAGAGCTCTAATGTCTAAGAGACAACTATGTGGAGAATTTAAAACAATGTTTTTAAATTTTAAAAATTATAGATGAGATTGTACATATGCGTTTAAACTTTAAACAATTCAAAATCTTTATTTAAAAACATATAATAATTTTTAGAATAAATAATACTCCCTCTGTCCTACTAGCAATGAGACAAAAGTAAGTGACACACAAACTAATAAAAATTGGATTATTTGGTTAATATTGGTAGGATAAAATAAGAATGATTGAGAGAGACAGAATTACATTACGAGGCCGTTTGGCAACCCTCATTTTCGGCTTATCAGGCTTATCAGCCAACTTTTTTACCAAACACGTAAATTTTGCTTTCGCGCACTGAATTGTGTAATAAGCCGAAAAAGTAAGGTTATAGTTACTTTTCTGGCTGTATTGGCTGATGTTACCGTAGATGACCATTTTAGCTATTTTTACATATAATTTTTTCTTTATTTTATTAATAAAATATATTTTAAAAATATTTTTTTCTTGTATCAGCAGAATCAGCCAATGCAGCCAGTTCAGTCAGAACTTCATAAATTTCAGCAGAATCAGTCAGAACAGCCGATTTTCGTGCTGCCAAACGGGCTCTACATCCTTTAAAAGATCTGCCAAAACCTTTTTGTATTCCTTCATTTTTAAGCTCCCCTTTCTAAAGCACCTCAAACGAATTTATGAACTCTTTGGGAGTAACTGAAACCCACCACCCGCAGCTGCACAGCCACACAGGTATTAAGTTTTCGCCACACTCGTCCCAAATTTTAGAAGTTCACTTCAATCCTTCATTCCCTAGGGTTCAATGGTTCATACGCCATATTCTGTGTCTCTGGTTCTTTCTCGTTGCATGTTTGCGGATTTTTGCGTACGTAATGATTGATACCATGTTCTTGTCGCTATCTAATCTGTAAATTATAATTTAATCCTTATTAATGTATATAGAATGATGTAAATGTGTAATAGAGATTCAGCTTGCTTTCATGTGAAGTTATACGATATTTGATCAACTGATTGTCCTAGTTGTTGTAATTGCTACCGGGAGGAGTAGGGCATGCACTTCTTCCATGGACAGTAAATGCACAATTATATTTTTCTTGATTCTCCAAGCTTTTTTTTACCATATTGGCTGTTTCGTGCCCAATTGCTAGTAAGATGATACGTTTTTCTTCATATCCCTGTCAAGTATTTGGATCTAATTCATCAAAATTAAGAAGTTATATTTTCTTCTGGTCCTATTAATGAGGTTTGGGATAAAGTGATAAACTTGTATGACTTGACAATTAGGGTCAGCTGTAGCTGTCTGGGTTTGTTTTTTTGCCAATATGGCATTCGTTATTTCTTATGTTTATATTTTACACTTTTGCAGAATTGAATTCACAATCTGTTATGATGGAATACAAAAAAGTATATAAATCTTTGCAGGAGATATTTCCAGAGGTATGCTCTCTATTCTAATTGTATCTTAATTTTTTAAACTGATTTTCTCTCTCTCTGTTGCATGATAGTTGTAATAATTTATCTAATTCTGTAACATATCATAATGTTTAAACATTATGTGACGTGTGATGTGTCTATGTTGAGAGAAAATATTATTTTCCTTATGAGTACATAATTATAATGTTTAAACATTATGTGACGTGTGATGTGTCTATGTTGAGTGAAAATATTATTTTCCTTATGAGTACATAATTTGCCTAGAATTTGCAATTGTTTTTAATTGTAATTTTTTTCACAAGTTTCCATTCCTTCATAATGTCTTGTTTGTGGCTCGTACTAGTTCTTTGAAATCTGAAATCTATCATATGCAGTACAAGAAATGTTATAAACTATTGATATTTCTTGTCATTTGAAACAGATCGACTCTCGGGTTCTAAGAGCTGTTTCCATTGAACACCGTAAGGATCCTGATGCAGCTGTTGAGGCTGTTCTTTCGGAGGTCATCCCATTTTTAATTGAGAGAACCAACTCATCCTCCTTTTCATCATCCCCTAATACAGTATCTGTAGTTAAAACGTCCCCGGGTGAGGTTTACAGTTGTTTCTTTTTCTTTCTAAAATGCAATGTGCTTGTAAGTGGGTAATTGTTAATGGGGCAGATATAAGTAATAGATTGACGTGACCTTTTCTACTCTATCAGCTGCAGTGGATTCAAGTGAAGTGTTTCTGGAAAATGATACCGAGTCACCAAGAATGGTACCATTTGATGAAAAGACGAATGAATTTTCATCCTATGATGCTAAAGGTGGGAAAGGTCAACACCATGAATCTTGTTATTCCATTGGACAGCGTCATGATGTTGAAGACAGTACTAGTGGCAATTTGATGTCATTTGAGATCGGTGAAAGTGATGTATCTTATAATCCCATCCCCTTCCAAAGAAATCCTGAACTTGCTGGCGAATGTTGTGATGCTGATAAGTGTGAATCCTCTGCAATTCAAGAACCCGTTTCTTCTAAAGTACATGAAAAATGTGCTTCTGATTCACATGAAGAAAGGGAAGATGTTTTTGTAGAATGTATGAGTGCACCTCTAGTTAATATGGATGGATTTACAAGTGAGGAGTGTACCACCGCGGCACATAAACGTGCACTCTTTAAAGAATCCTCCTGTTTTGATTCTATAAATCATTCTTCTACATCAGTTGTACAAGATGTCGAGAAAAGTGAGCAGCTGGTAGTTGTTGAGCCAGAAAAGCACACAGTTGGTCTTGAAGAAATGGGGCTTAAAAGTTATGTTAATGCCGTCCCTGATATAAATCTCACTGGTGAAATGATCGACACTCACTCAGAATCTGTCCCCAATCCTGTAGTTACTCGTTCTGGTCATATTTTTTGCATTGATCTTCTAGAAGATATAATTACCGAAGCAAGATCTAACAAGGTATAGTTTTACAATTTTGACCTTCCATTGAAGCATGTGTTTTAATCAAAACTTTCAGTTAGATTATATGATTGTCGACTTGTAGTGAATTGTAATTTTTAAATTTATTTTCATTGTTTTTTCGTGCTCTTTCTGTACAACATTTGATACTGATAGTTGAGTAGTTGCATTTACCTTGTCCCAATGCCTGAATGCCAGTAGGTGCCGGTGGACGTAACTCTGATTGTTCATAATAAACATCATGTAATGTGTACCAACAAAAAATCACTTGTCTTTTCTGCCATTGAATTGTTGGGCCAGGATAAACATAAAATAGAAAGAAAGTACTGTGCACATATATTTAGCTTTAAGATGAGGTGGAGTACGCTTCAATACTAATGCTATACCTTGAATGTAAGATGTATGTCTAATGGACTAGCTTGCTTTAAATAATGACTTTTAGCACCAAAATGTGCATCCTAGTACTGGTTGGATTGGATTACCCGCACGGGTAGCTCTTTTGGTCGAGCGGTGGGGAAAATTGGACGTAGACCAAGGTTCGAATCCCGCAGCGGCCAAAAGTGGGTTTTCAGAACCTGAAATTAGGCTGGCCCTCTAGTGCGCATAGTAAGAAAAAGGGGGATGAGGATGGGGTTTATTATATATAGGTTATTGAGTGGATGTATGATTATGTATTAGCCTACATCCAACGGACCTGGCCCTCATTTTTTGGTGCACGCAACAAACTCTTTAGTTCAGTAATAGGCTCGTTAGCTTACAATCTGGATAAATGGTTATCTTCTTAGAAATGCTTATATATACCTAGATTTATTGTAATCAAAACATGAAGATGTTCTTATGATTTATATGCATCAAGTCTAAATGTTATGTTTTACAGAAAAACATGTTTGCTGCGATGGAGTCTCTAATGTGTTTAATGAAAGAGGTTGAACTTAAAGAAAAAGCTGCAGAACAGGCAAAGGAGGAAGCTTCCATTGGAGGACGTGGCATACTTGATAGAGTGGATCATCTGAAAGAAATGCTAAGACACGCTAAGGAAGCAAATGACATGGTTGCGTTCTTTTTCTAGGAATTTGAAGTCTTGTTGATATGATTATGTCTTCATTTACTTCTAGATTTCAAGGAGTGCACTTCTGTTGCAGCATGCTGGAGAAGTGCATGGTGAGAAGGCTATCCTGGCCACTGAAGTGAAAGAGCTACAGTCTCGCCTTCTTAACATGGCAGATGAAAGGGACAGATCTCTTGCTGTTCTTGATGAGGTGAGGAAATTTTCGTTGCACAGAATTAATATCTTTTTGGGCTTGATGCGCACCATGTAGTTTTAATTCCTTCCTGTCATCATTTGTTACTGCTGCTCCTGTTTTTGAAAGATTATTTCCTCTAAAAGTTTTCCTTTGTTGTGAAAAGAGAATTATCTATGTCCATAGAGATATCTCCAAGGCCATGTTGTTTGATTATCTAATTTGGGTCTTGTGGTTTTAATTGATGCCTTTCATCAGAAGTGGAAACAGAGGAAAGTAATATTGACTGCATGTTATAGCTTTGATGTTCTTTTTCCTGATCTTGTAACTGTTTTTTTCAATAGATGCGACAAAATCTTGAGGCACGTCTGGAAGCTGCTGAGAGAGAGCGGCAAGCTGCTGAGGCTGACAAGATACAAAAGGAACAGCTTGCACGGAATGCTCTGGCTGAACAAGAACGCATTATGGATAAACTTGTGCAAGAGGCATACATTTTGAAAAAAGAGGCAGAGGAAAATTCCAAAGTAAGGACCGCTCTCATATGCGTGCTTTTGCTCCCTTTTGTATGTGATCTTATTTTGAAGTGCTCGATTCCTAATCTGTACACACTTGTTTGTCAATCTCAGTTGCGTGAGTTCCTCATGGATCGCGGCCTTGTTGTAGATATGCTGCAGTAAGTATTTATTTATTTAGGATGTTTTTACTTGGACTGTAATTTGCTGGTCTGGTCTGGTCTGGTTTTTATTTGGACTGTAGATATCCTTGTATATATGTTTGTTTGTTTGTTCGCTTAAAATTAGCTCGTAAGGACTAAACATTTTGCAGCTGCCCTGCTGTTCTAATGTACTCCTTCCGTATCTATTTAGTTGTCCCAGTTTCCTTTTTGGGACATATCAAATTAATTGACCCATTTTCTTATTTTTCATATAAATATAATCTACAGTAATTATCTTAAACTACGTAAAAAAGTAAACAAGTCAATTAATTAGATACGGAGGGAGTACTAAAGATGAACAACACAAATATGAACCTCCTATTTTGATTTAAGTATGATGCTCGCTCTCCTTTTACTATTTTTCCTTGAGAAGGGGCAGGGGCGGGGTCTTAACTCTTAACTCTGTATACACCTCAGTTCTGTTTTTAGGGTTTCAAGAATGCTGAGCTAATCTTGGATTCTTGTTTTTGTTCTTTTTTTTGCAGAGGAGAGATATCTGTGATATGCCAGGATATCAGGTTACTAAAAGAGAAGTTCGATAATGGCGTTCCACTAAGCAAATCATTTTCCTCCAGTCAGACGAGCTGCATTTTAGCTTCCTCGTCAAATTCATCTTCACGAAGTATGGCACTTGAGCCTGCAGATCAAGCTGCTGAGCATACAAATTCATCAGATCAATGGCCGGGGAAGATTGACCTAACATTTCCGGTTTGTGCAGTGGAAACGGGAGATAGGGGACATGATAAAGATGGTAATACGGATGAGGATTGGGAAATTTTTGACAAGGGGGAGTTTTGCATGTGAAAGGGAAATGCTGCATAGCATTCAGAGCCAGTCATCCTGGCTGAACTGCCTTTTGTTAACTTATGGGAACTCCTATGGAATGTTGGTCTCTTGCGTTTTTGGTACATGTATTCTGTGCAAACCAAAGAGGAGTTAACTTCGGGCCATCTAATTCCCCTCATATAGAAGTTAAAATGCCCCCCGAAGTAGTTCTTATCTGCGTCTTCTCATGTATATAATCTTTTCTTAACGCTCAAGTGCAGCATAAAACTAGTACTCCCTCCATCTCTGGTTCTAGACGGGGCCGGTTCGGCCCAGTACCCGGCCGACCGGGACTGGGACTGGGGGCTCGAACCGGGGGTATTAGGGGCGGGCTTCGGACTGCTGAAAAGGTGGACCGGCCCGGTCGGTCCGGGACTGGTCCGGGCCCTTTTTTTCAATTTTAAGGGCTGCTAGGTGGGTGGGGCTGGGTGGTTTGGGGGGATAGTAATAAATTAGAAAAACAATTTTTTTTTAAAAAAAAATAGACCCGGCCCCGACCCCAACCCAGGCTGGTACTGGGTCTACAACCCAAAAACCCAGGCCTGCCCAATACGGGCCCGCTTCATCTCTAGATCCTAGTTCTAACTTTCTTTTTTTGGACGTCTCAAATAAAGGTTCTCATTTTTGTTTTAGGAAACCATTAAGACTCTTAAATGACAATTTAATCATCAAATATTAAAAATAATACATCTATAACATCAAAGTTATCATCGATCATTTTATATTGATTGTATATCTTTCAAAATTATTTCTCATAATTTACTCGAATTACCTATCTAATTATTGTATTAATAATTGTGCTACTTTGTAATGGGAACCTTTAAGCAGGAGGGGGTAGTATGAGTTGTGGAAGTAGTAATGGACTTTGGCCGGTCCAATCTGGCACCGGCCGGTCCAGTGTTTGGCCCAGTATCGGCCGGTCCGGTTTCGGGTCTGGTACTGTCTGGTCCCAGTTTTAAATAATTGGGGCTTGATATTGACCAAGTTTACGTGTATGTAAATATGTATATTGAGTGGAATGAGGCAAGATAGATCAATAATAATACCCTAACCTGTCTTATTGTGTGCACGGGACGGGTGGATCCGCCCCAAATGTCCCTGACTTCTCAGGCTAGGGTTGGTCTTTATGAGTCGAGTTTGTTTTACAGGCTTGGATTTTTCAGATGATCACCCAATAGTAGGGATGGACCCGGGTCGGGCTGCGTCAGGCGGTACTGGACTAGAAAATGTGAGCCTTGTATCGACCTGAGTATGCCCTGGTACCGGTTCTCGGTCGGGCCCAAATAGTACCTGGTCCAAGTCGTTCCCGGGTCTGTAACACCTATTTAATTAAATGTTTTTAAAAAAATGCACTCGAGCCTAAAAATCGAGCCCGAAGCCCGCCCCTTATAATCACTGGTCCGGGTATCAGGTCGATACCCGGCTCAGAAAAACCGAGTCGGATCGGGGTCGATCCCAGGTCGGGCCGCCTGGGCGGCTGGGCCCAGTCCATCCCTACCCAATGGTTGGGATGTATTCGGTCTATTGTGAGCAAGTGAGCAGTTCACACATTAGCCAATTATGTCGTATTAATTCCTTCAATAATGCTTGGTGTACACATTAGTATACATGCTTGTGTACACCATATAAATAGCTCAGGGGAGTGTTTGCAACGGGTTAAAAACACTTTTGCGTTTTTCTGGGTGGAAAAAGCAAGAATGGGTATTTTTAAACACCAACTTTTACTTATTTTAAGTAATGTTTAGTGAAAAGCTAAAAAGCACGGATACCGGTGCTTTTAATTGTTTTTCATTCGAACCAGACTGGTTCTGAATTCTTTATTAGAAAAAGATAATCAATATTGGAGGTAGAGAGCTAAGGAGTTCTGGTTGAGAGAAGGAGATATCAACTCTAGATTTTTCCATAATGCAATTAAAGCTCGTCGAAGGAGAAATAAAATGCAGGGACTACGAAGGTCGGATGGTAGCTGGGCAACTGATAGGGAAGAAGTGGGGAACATGGTCTTTGACTATTTCTCTGGTTTATTCATAGCTCCAACTGGGATTGAAAGGGAAGAAATTTTCCGACCGATGGGAACTTTGAGTGCGGCACAGAATGCTATTTTAATCAGGCCGATTACGGCGGAGGAAGTGAAGGAAGCGGCGTTCAATATGCACCCGTAGAAAGCACCAGGCAAGGGTGGAATGAACCCAGCATTTTTTCAGAAATTTTGGGATATTGTGGGGCCGGAGGTGGTGGAGATGTGTAGAGGAATTTTCGAAAGCCGGAAAATTCCTAGAGAAATTAATGTCACTAATGTAGTTCTAATCCCTAAGAAGGAGAGGCCTGAGAGTATGGGGGATTGGAGACCAATCGCTCTTTGCAACGTGGTATATAAGATTTTTTCGAAAGTCTTGGCTAATCGGAGGCTTATTGGGAGATCTGATTGGGGAAAACCAGAGTGCCTTTATCTCAGGTAGATCAATTGTGGATAATATTGTGATTGCTTTTGAGACACAACACTGTTTGAAAAAAAACAAGGGGGTGAGGAAGGTTTTGTGGCCTTAAAACTTGATATGAGCAAAGCTTATGACAGAGTGAGTTGGCGCTTTTTGGGGGAAATAATGGAGCGAATGAGTTTTGAAACCCGCTGGATCGAGCTAATCATGGAGTGCATCAGTACAGTTAGTTATCATGTCCAGTATGAGAAGGGTGCGTTGGGGCCGATTATTCCTGGAAGGGCTTTCAGACAAGGGGACCCCTTGTCACCTTATTTATTCATCTTAGTAGTTGAGGGGTTGAGCTCTTTACGAGAAGGGCTGAAAGCAGGGGGGGTGTGCATGGGGTGGCTGTCTGTAGGGGAGCTCCGAAGGTATCACATTTATTTTTTGCTGATGATAGTTTCTTATTTTTCAAAGCCCTTCTCGTAGTTGAATGTGATAATGTTAAAGGAATATTAAGTTATTATGAGGAGATGTCGGGACAGGATGTGAATTTTTCTAAGTCTACTGTTTCTTTTAGCCCGAACACTGTAGAGCAGGTTAGAGAAATGTGCAGACAAAAATTGCGTGTTTTTACAGAAGGGGAGATCGGGAGATATCTGGGTTTACCGGCAATGGTGGGGAAAAATAAAGGTGCTATTAAGAGTTACTTGAAGGACCGGATTTATAATACTCCCTCCGTCCTGTTGGAATGTTCCCGCTTTCCTTTTTTGGTTGTCCCGTTGGAAAGTTCACATTTCCCTAAATGGAAAGTTATACTACATCAAAACAGGGTCAGACAGTGCAAAACAGTGTCAAACAGTGTCAAACAGTGTCAAAACAGTGTCAAACAGTGTCGAAACAGTGTCAAAACAGTAAAATTTACCTCCTGATAAGTTTATTTCCTTAATATGTGTGTAGGTCAAACCGGGAACATTCCAACGGGACGGAGGGAGTAGAATCAAGAGTTGGAATAACCGGTTTCTCTCAAGGGCCGGACGTGCGGTCCTGCTGAAAAATGTGGTCCAGGCAATGCCCTCCTATGCTATGAATGTATTTTTATTACCGAAGGAGTTGTGTGATGAGATTGAGAAATTAATGAATGATTTTTGGTGGAGGGGAACAAAGCTTGATCAGAAAGGAATGAGATGGAGAAGTTGGAAGAAGCTGTGTAAACCAAAAGAGCTAGGTGGATTGGGGTTCAAGCAGTTGAAAGAATTTAATCTGGCCATGCTAGCTAAACAGGGGTGACGGTTGATCAATGAGAAAGGCAGCCTGATGGAGAAGATTTTGAAGGTAAGATATTTTCCTAATTCGGATTTTCTAAATGCTAAATTAGGGAATAATCCATCTTTTATGTGAAGAAGTATTTTTGAGACACAACAATTATTAAAGCAACACACAAGGAGAAGGGTGGGGAATGGAGTTGATGTTCAGGTGTGGGCAGATGCGTGGCTGCCAGGGACGGACGAAGGAAGAATTACTTCGACTAAACCGATGGGTGTACGTGACATGAATGTGGCTGCTTTACGTGACTGTACGAGCAAAAAGGGGAATGAAGAGAGATTAAGGGCTATCTTTAATGAGGAGGATAGAAGAAGAATTTCGAGTATTCCGATTAGTGCAGGGAATAGAGTTGATGGATATTGGTGGAAAGGGGAAACTAGTGGGAATTACTCTGTCAAGAGTGGCTACAGACTGCAAGTTGAGGAGACGGCAGGGACAACAAATGGAGTGTGGTCACACTTATGGACTGCTAAGGTACCTCCTAAATTTAAATATTTTATGTGGCAGGTATTGGACGGGTCAATTCCAACTGTGGATAAATTACGCCAGAGAGGAATTGAAGTCCCAAATGGTTGTAAACTGTGTGATGCTCCGACCGAGTCGCTGGAACATGCTTTTAGGGAGTGCAGTTGGGCCCGGTTGGTCTGGCAGGCGGCAGGTTTCAAAGTAGAGGGGAGACGTCGACAGAAGAGTGGATTCGAAGAGGTATAGAAGATGGGGAGGTGGAAAGAAAGTGTAAATTTATGGCACTTCTTTGGAGCTTGTGGAAACGTAGGAATAATGTCGTTTGGAAGAACCAGAAGCAAGACACCACCAGTGTTATTAATGGAGCAGCAGAAATGATAGCAAGCTGGAGAGAAGCTCAAGATCAGGGAGGGGAGCACACGGCACGGTCCTCTATAAAAGAAAAGTGGAAAAAACCAAAGAAAGATTTTATAAAAATCAATGTTGATGGGGCGGTCAATTAGAGTGGTGGAGTAAGAGCTTGGGGTTGGGTGGCTAGAGATGATGAAGGTAACTTTGTGAGAGCCCAAGGGGGGTCGGCGACAGTTAACTGGTCAGCGGCAGAGACGGAAGCTTTTGGGCTCAAGGAAGCTATGGAGGGAGCTATCCGGGAAGGATGGACTAGAGTCGAGTTTGAGACTGATGCCTTAACAGTGGTGAAAATATTAAAACAGGAGGAGGGTGCTCGTACTTTCATTTGATTATAGAGGATATTAGAGATTTGTTAGAAACTAAGAGTAATTTTTCTGTCTCTTATTGTAATCGATCTGCGAACAGTGTAGCTCATGCTATTGCAAGAGGACACATAGCTTTCCCATATCAGCATAGTATCTATGATGTGTCTCCTATTTGTATTGCTAGCCTTCTGGCTACTGATTCTCTGGATTAATAAGAATGTTGGGAGTTGATGACCAAAAAAAAGTAAACACTCTAACTTTTACTTTTTAAAATTACTTTTCTTTTCAAAAACTATCAACTTTTATTATTAATCACTTTCATATAATTTCTAAAAAAACATTTTTTTAAATAGAAGCAATCACAAACAGCGTCTAATATTTTCCACCCCTCTCCTCTATTTCCCTCACCCTTTTCTCTCTCTTCCCACAATTTCCTCCCTCCTTCCATACATAGACCTAGACATTGACCCGTTTCGGCCCAGTACGGAACCGGGTCCGATACTATTTGGTCTCGGACCAGGTTCATTTTTTCGGTTTTGGGCCAAGGACCGACCCTGTCCATTCATGTAGGGTACTCGGTCCCAGTTCACTGGTTTGGGGACCAATCTGGGCATCCTGGTCCCGGTTTCGGCCTTGACCAGGCATTTTTTTTGTTTCTGCCTTGGAGCCGAACAGAAATAAATAAATAAGTAAATAAAGGAATCAGATCCGGAACAACGATCGAATCGACCATGTACCGGAACTGGTCCAAAATAATCAGATGAAATATTTAACATGTAAAGAACAGCGAACTTATGATTAGCCTTTGCCCTTTGGGGATGCAAAAGTTGTCCCTCAACTCATGTGGTGCTCAGTTTTAGAGTTTGGGAATGGAAAATGGATCTTCTTGTTGTATTGTTATTGGAAATGGAAAGTGTTAAATGAAATTGACTAGTGATTTTTCTTTGTGAGAGTCAAAACTTGACTACTTCCAAATGGGTATTGCATGTTTTTTTGAAATGGTGCCAAGAGTTTTAGTTGAGAATTTGTGGTTATGGCTTTCTCAGATTTCTATTAGTTTATGAAGCGAAATTAGCGCAGTTGCTAGATGTGGGCTATTTTGTGAAGGCTAAAATGAGAACCACTGGTTTTTATTATTTGTCCAGTATTTTGGCCAGAAAAGAAGAGGGGAAGGTGAAGAGGCCTCCTCCTCCTTTTAGCCCTCCTGTTTTCTCTCTTTTTCAATTTTCCGGGCTGTCAAAGGTCGGCAATCTTGGGTTTCCAGCACATTACTGATTTTCCTGGCTGGCTGGCTGGCTGGCTGGAGGGCTGGCTAGCCGGAGAGGAAAGACCTAAGAACTTTCTGGGAAGGTTGTGTTTGGACAAAGCTGCATTTGGTGATCCAACAGTATTTTGTTTTTTACTCACAGGTTAGCATTGAATCATAAGAGCAGACCAAATATGATCACTAAAATGGGTATTTGCATGATTTATTGCAAACTCAAATGAAAAAATAAAATCATTAGATTCTAAGTCCTGTATAAATAATGCATTTTAGGGCGTTCTTGCATTAAAATATGAGATGCAAAATCTAATGTTGGAATAAACATGAGGTGCAAATATTATATTTTGCCTACAACATTAACTAACATATTATTGAGTTTTAGAAGGGAGAACTCAACATCAAACCCTAACAACAATTGGATAAAATACAAAGAAAGCGATAATTAAACAAAATAACAAGTAAATAACCGCAGCAAGAATGCTGAATTGGCCATTGGTATTCAGAAAAAATGCAAAAAATTATCCAAGGCTCGATTGGTCGCCGGACATACAGGAGAATCACTCAAGCTAAACATTACCAAAATTAACCATAATTAAAAACAATGGTGTGATGTTCCTTCTTTGGCCTTCTCCCACCAAATACCGACCAGTTTACCCTTCAGTCTGCCCAAACTATTTGCCTCACCACCTGTTATTGGGATAATTAAATACATTAATGTAATACGAAGTACGAATACTATATATGATTACTGCTACAAGAGTAGGAGTAATGATAAGGTAAATAGCCCTACAGGAGTAGACTACACAGCACCTGAACAATGTTACTGAGAGTCTGAGATCAAGAATGGACTATGAAACTGATACAATTTATTCCTGCAAAAGTTGACAGGTGAAAAAACTTTGGGGCAAATATGGCAAATGTTGAGGACATTCTTGTTTCAGCAGGAATCAACCTTTTTTCTGCACTGACATTTCTTTTGGCATTTGCAATTCTAAGACTTCAACCAGTTAATGATAGGGTATACTTCCCAAAGTGGTACTTGAAGGGTATAAGAGAAAGCCCAACAAGTTCTGGACCTTCAGTCCAGAAGTTTGTCAACTTGGACTTCAGAACATACTTAAAGCTCTTGAATTGGATTCCTGCAGCACTGAACATGCCACAGCCTGAAATCATAGATCATGCAGGTCTTGACTCCGCTGTGTATATACGAATTTACCTTCTTGGGTGAGTGCTCATAGCTGAATGGTCATGTCTTCTTTTAAAGACCATGGAAGTTAATAAGATTCAAGATTAGTTGAGGTCAATCAACTGAGTTATAATTAAACTACAAGAATGAATTCAATCTCCTTGCTAGTTCAACTCAATGTCTTATTAACCCATCATTCTCTCTTCAGTTTCCAAAATCAGATTTTAACAGATGTAAAAAACATATGCAGTATATAGTTTTTCTAACTATGATGAGTTTAATTGTAGCTAAAAAAATTAAAAAAATACATAACTGTGTTTTCCCAATTGGTTACCAAGTCTTTTTCCCAATTTAAACAGTTATATTCAGAGTTTCAGACCATCTAATTTCATTCAAAAACTGAAATGCAGATTGAAAATATTTGTACCCATTGCATTTCTTGCCTTTTCCATCTTAATTCCTGTTAATTGGACTGGTGGGTCACTGCAAAATATTCAGGACTTAACATTCAGTGAGATTGATAAACTGTCAATATCGAATGTCCCTTCTGGATCACCAAAGTAAGCATTATTTTTCCCATTTATGTTATTCTCCCTTTTATCGCACAGTATATTATTGTACAAGGCAAACTCCTATAAAGTTTTAATAAAAGTTTCAGCTTGGCCACCCAGAAATATAGATCTATAAATAGTACTCCCTTGCCTTGAACATTGCCATCTTTGACAGAATATAAGTAAATACTGGGCTTATGCAAAGGAGAGAGATAATATTAACCACAAATTAATTACTAAAAAAGAAAAGTAGCAAAGTTTTATAAATCAAATAAGGAAAGTTGGCAATGTTTAATGACACAAAGGTAGTAAAAAATTAAAACAGAGTCCTAGCTCTGTCCTTGATAACATATTCTTCTGTGCGCAAAATAAGGAGGCATTTTTTTCACCTAGCATCGCCAATAGAATAATGCCCTCGAGGATACAATAAAAAAACAGAAATCTATTCCCACTCCTCTTAATTGCTGTTTATTCCAATTTCCAGGTTATGGGCACACATAGCAATGGCTTATGCATTCTCATTTTGGACCTTATATGTTCTATATCAAGAGTACGAAATTGTATCTAACATGAGGCTGCAGTTTCTTGCATCAGAAAAGCGCCGTCCTGATCAGTTCACTGTTAGTAATTCATGGTGTAAAAGTTTATGGATCCTATTTTTATTTTTCTACTCTGTTTACCATTTGACTTCATCTTAAAGGTCCTTGTGAGAAACATCCACCAAGACACCGATGAATCAATCAGTGAGCATATTGAGCATTTCTTTTGTGTAAACCATCCAGAAACTTACCTTCTACACCAGGTCTGTCTCTCGCTGAAGTGTTCTCTATTATACAAAGCTGCTAATCATACTCATCAGATATATTGTGCCCTTTCCTTCAATTCAATGTCCTATGTGACCATAACGAACGCTGTTGAAGTTTTAGGTTGTATACAATACTAACAAGCTAGCAAAGATTGTGGAGAAGAAGAAGAAATTGCAAAATTGGCTCATTTATTATCAGACAAAGTATGACAGGGATCTCACCGAGAAAAGCAAAATAAAGGTTATCTTTTTCCGAAAACGAATTTGAATATCTGCTAACGTTTCATTTTTTGTTGAAAGTCACACATTGAAGAAATAAATATTATTAGAAAATGAGTTAATAAGACCTTGGACTAAACATGTCTTAATAGGTTGAAATCAATCTTTTAGTGTGGTTTGACTCATGTACCTTACAGCTCAAGTGGATGATCTCAAACCAATCTAAAGTTCTATTAATTTGCATGTCTATTACATAATCTAATCTTTCTTCATGTATAGACAGGATTTTGGGGACTATGGGGGGAAACAGTCGACTCCATCGACTATTACACAGCTGAAATCAAATATTTGGATGAAATGGTAAGTGCCTTAAACACAACTCCATAAATTATTTATATGTTTCCTATTTATTTTGCAAGTACGTCATTACCACTGTCACTATAATGAAATGAAATTCTGAAAGCATTGAACATAATAAAGAGAGTGAAAAAAGTTGCAAGTCGTTCTTATTACAATGTCGCTATTTGGAACGCACCTCATGAAACATGACGATCTTAACATGAATTATTTGCATAAACCATGCCACACCATTATTGTATATATGCTAGAGCAATGCGTCTTTCTGTTGGGCCTCCCTCTTATATGCTATCGTAATAATAGGTTATATTCTTTGACTTAGGAAGCTAAAGAGAAAGAGAAGATCTTAAGTGATCCCAAGGCAATAGTTCCAGCTGCTTTTGTTTCATTTAAATCTAGATGGGGAGCAGCAGTCTGTGCTCAAACCCAACAATCAAGTAATCCCACCATTTGGATGACAGAATGGGCACCTGAACCACGTGATATCTTTTGGAGTAATCTTTCCATACCATATGCTGAACTCAAAATCCGAAGTCTCCTCATGGCAGTTGCCTTTTTCTTTCTTACTTTCTTTTTTATGATTCCCACTGCATTCGTTCAGTCTCTCGCAAGCATTCAAGGCATCGAAAAAGTTTTTCCTTTCTTGACGCCATTGATAGAAAAGTGAGTGGTTTCTTGAGTTTAAGGAAAGCTAGGAAGATTTCTTCAAACATTGCTGAATAATATGTTATGGCAGGGATTTCATTAAGTCTTTCATTCAAGGGTTTCTTCCTGGAATTTCATTGAAGCTATTTCAGGCTAACAACCCTAAACTCCTTATGAGCATGAGCAAAATAGGTCTGACATCACTTTCGTCTCTGGAGAGAAGTTCTGCTGCAAAAAATCATTTATTTCTTCTTGTCAATGTCTTCCTTGGAAGTATCATCACAGGAACTGCATTTGAACAACTTCACAAGTTCCTTAATCAAACAGCAGCAGAGTAGGACTTTTTTCCTCAAACACAGCATATCAATAAAATTGCTGCTACTTCAACTTGTTTAAATTTAGGGGTGGGCCCATCCCGGTTCTAAACTGGACCTGAAACTGTAAGTTATGCCCGACCTGGAACAGGACCGGTATAACTGGGTCCAATTTTTATCTAGAGGGGCCTGAATCGGTCAGTGTCCAATCCTGATTTAATTACAGAACAGAGACCAAAACTTACAACAAGAGTCTGTATGGTAAGATTAATATTGCCTAAAGAATGCTACATATAAGTTACATATTGCAAATGATCCTACACACAATTCATACTTTACCTCCCTTTTACTTTAATCTCCAACTTAGTCATTACAAACTTGCTGAACATTTTGATGCGACAGTAAAAGGGGGAAGTAGTTTAGATTCTTTATCCCACTTTCTTAATTTATGTGCCCAAAAGTTTTGTAACTTTTATTTTGGGACGGAGGTACCACCTCTTTTCATTATTAACCAAGTCAGGGCATAAAATAAAATAAAAAGTCGATTGGTAAAAAAAAAAAGCAAACAATAAGGCTGATAGGAAAAAAAACAAGGTTACAATGTGGGCACTTAGTATGTAGCATGAAGCCATGAAATCTTGATTACCTTGGCTACAAAAATCTATTGCAGCATTCCGAAGACTATAGGAGTAGCAATTCCAATAAAAGCCACATTCTTTATCAGCTACATAATGGTTGATGGTTGGGCAGGCGTTGCAGCAGAGGTTCTTAGACTATCTCCATTAGTGAAGTTTCACACTAAGGATGCATTCTTGGTGAAGACAGAAAGGGAGAGGAAGGAGACTATGAATCCTGGTTCTATAGTGTTTTCTACATCAGAACCTCGTATACAGCTTTATTTCTTACTTGGATTAGTATATGCTGTTATCACACCTATACTTCTCCCTTTCATAATTGTCTTCTTTGCACTTGCATACATGATTTTCCGCCATCAGGTGCGCTCAAAATTCTATGCTTCTCAAAAGACAGATATATCGAGAAACTATTATTATAAATTTATGCCTATGGTTTCTTCATTTCTTGTTGCCAGATCATCAATGTGTACAACCAGAAGTATGAAAGTGGGGCTGCATTCTGGCCAGATGTTCATCGTCGTATAGTCATTGGTCTCGTCATTTCCCAGATCCAACTGATGGGACTGATGAGCACAAAAAATGCAGCCAAATCAACCCCATTCATCCTTGTTCTCCTAGTTCTAACAATCTGGTTTCATAAATTCTGCAAGGAGCGGTTTGAATCTGTGTTTGTCAAGTTCCCATTGCAGGTATAGCAAATCTATCTTGAATTCGGGAAGAAATATAGCACTTGCTCATCAGCTAAAATACATTTCTTTGATGGTTGATTGTGTGATTCTCAGGAAGCAATGGTGAAGGATACAGTGGAAAAGGCAACAGAACCCAACCTGAACCTGAAAGTTTATCTCGGGAATGCTTATGTGCACCCTGTTCTCAAGGGTGCTGAGTTTGAGCGACCGGTAGCAATTGATGACGAAGAGAATGATCCACTAGTAGCCACCAAGAGAGCATCTGGGAGAGACATAGAGTACTATAAGGCCTGGGAAAGTGATAAAGCTAACTTTTGGCAGATACATCATGCTTTTCATTCAACTTGATCTGTTAATTCATAAAAATCTACTTACCACTAATTAAGCAAAGATAAATAAGATTGAGAAGTAGATTAAGAATTGAGATTACTAATTTAGTGTCAATCACAAACGAACCTATAAGATCTTGAGTTAGTCCTCATACAATGAAAACTCAAGCCTTAATTGAAATTTGGTCACTTCCAAATTGCAAAATCTGGCCATTTTTTATCTTTTATCCAAAATTTTATAACCTTTATATTTTACGCAAACTACAAATTATCTATGGTTACTGTTTTGAATTTCTATTGGAAAATTAAAAATAAATTGTCAAAATAGCAGTAAAAACTGAAAAGTTATACAAATATTGATTAAGGTAGGTAAAGTGTATCGAGAAAGAGGTTCTGCTGTAAAATGTACTGCAACTCCTTACCTGAAGAAGACAGCACAATGCATTCTTCTACATGACTTCATCCACTTCAGCAGCCCAACACAGCAGAATGCACCAGATATAATTTATAGAGATTAAGATGATTTTGGTTCTCTCGTGAGAACCATTACTCTACTTTTTTCAACTATTCAAGAGATACATGGACTTCAGGGGGTATGATAAAAATGACAAGGTGTGACCTAAGCATGTAATGCTGTTGCGCATAGAATGTCCCCCTTCACCCATACTTTGATATACTACATAGACTCAACATAAAGAAGTGGTAAGGATTCACAAGCAGCATGTGGTGGTTCTTGACTTTCTACCACTTCAAATTAATGGCAAGATCTAAAAGTGCTTCCACTTGGTGAATGGCTCTTTGTTTCTCCTGCTGCTTCAACCGAATTGCGACGGTTTCGGGATCAAGACCTTTTGTATTCACTGCTTTCCTTTGTTCTTCTCGAACCTCTTGTAGCAGTGCATCAACCTCTCTAACAAAATCTACTCTCAGAAGTACGTCATCAGCATCTACAGGTGGTCTGACTGGACCGTGGAGCTGAGACACAGCACAAAACAACAAAGTTAATGACAAATTAGGCGTGGACCCGGTGCAACTCCAGTCTGGCAAAACTGTAACAATCTAACTTCATATACCCATACAGGTTGCGGTTAAGGCTCCGGTTTCGGGTCGGCTCCTAACCAGTTTCATGGCCAATCAAAAAACGGAAGCATAACAAGTTGGGTCCTTTTTGGATGAACCTGAACTGGTCTGGGCCGGTTTTCAGAACCGATTCCAGTTCTCAGTTGGGTTGCTGTCTGGCTCTGAGGACGGTTTCAGACCAGTTTATTACCCTGTTAAAAGTGGAATTACAATGGATCCAATCGTATTGTGGAGAAACCTGAACTGGTTTGGATCAGCTGCGATCCGGAAAACCGATTCATCTATGTGCTAGTCTGGGCCAGCTCCTGAACCGGGTCCACCCTTACTTTGCACCCATAGTAAAAATGAATTCACATTCATGATGCGTCGCAGACTTGCAGCCATTACATTATTATATCAAACAATACACGACCATATGCAAAGGGCAAAATATTTTAAGATGGCTACATACACTGTCCATGTCAAATCCTGCAGGCAGAAGAATACTGAATGGATCCTCCTCGCATGGGAATGTATCAACCATAACTTTTCTACATGCCTTCAGCCACCCTTCATCGTCATATCCATCATGCAGATTCAGAAGATCATTGAGCAGTCTTAAGGCAGCAGTTGCCTCACTTTTCAGAATTTCCATCTGGAAGAGAAAGAAAGGATATATCTGGTGATGAAAACTTGACTACAAGAAACAGGCTGAACATTCTCATCAACAAAAATAATTACAAAACAAGCATGGACCTAACCTCAACCCGCCTGTATAAGAGATCAAGACTTCGAATAGCATCTTTCTCATCCTGAAGATTTGACAACAATAAAAACTCAGTCCAATAGCATCTTATTTAGAGAATGGTTTATTTCCATGCAGAGATGTGAGATAAATAAAAACACAGGCTGGGAATGGATTCATATTTCATAAGAATCTCCAAGGATATATCTTTCAGTTACAATTAGCATAACAATTAACTATATTAGCAAATAAAGCGTAGAACTTGTCAACAGATCAAACCAAGAAAATATTTAATATCTTCAGCAGCCCAGTTAGTTCAGTTCATTAGAATATCAATTAGTATATACATGGTGCCCGTTTGGTAAACATATTTTTTGGATTAACACCCACATCAGACATATTTTTAACACACCAATTCTTTATTTCATGTGCTAATCGGTTAATAATGAAAAAAGATTGGAGATGGTTTCTTGGCTGCAAAGAAACATGTTTAGCTTTCCACATGTAACTATTTCAGTTATTATTAAAATATAATTTAAAATTAACATTTCATAATTTACTAGACTCAACCATGACTTCAGAACTCCGCCATGAGATCATTTTTTTGGTATCATGGCTGTCTCAAGCCAGGATAAAGGAGGAGAGTGTTGTGGTAGGCGCGTGATGGCCAACAATATCACCTAGTCACATCACATGACATGAATCGAAATATGAACATCGTTCATAGATCGATTCATGTTAGCCGACCCCAAATTCTTTTGGGATTAAGGCTTGGATGTTGTTGTTGTTGTTGAACCATGACTTCAGAACATTTCAGCAGATTTGACAGATTCGACAAAATTTAGCATTAACTAACAGCGTGAACTAGATTCAAGTCGTACCATGTTCACTTATGAAATTGAACATTCTCCAAATCTTTCTTCTCCTAGACATTTTGCAAGAGCAAGACTGTGACCAGGGGCGGACCGTAGTACAGACCCAGGGGGGTTACCGCCCCTCCAACAAGAATTTTTTTTAGTGTATATATATATGAAAAATAATTTTCTCCCTCCGAAAAAATATTTTGAACCCCCAAAAAATATTTTCGCCCCCCAAGATGACTTTCCTGGGTCCGCCCCTGACTGTGACAGATAAAAGATGTGAAGGAAACAATATGATGGCTAAACTACTGCTACAATAAATGGCAGATCAACAGTCCTCAAAGATAAGAGAAACAAAAAAAGAAGTCCAAATGCATATTAATGATGAAATTAGCACTTTGGCAGTAGGAAAGACTAACATCACGCTTGGCAATATCGAGACGACTCCATATTACCATCAGAACAAGTTCATTTAGTTCACCTTTTACCACGGCCTCCTCAATTTTCTGCACAAAATATAAAAAGAAAACATATAATAAGTTATTGAAAAGTATCACCAACAACTTATCCTCATAAACAAGAACATAGAAAGCAACCTCTTCAACTTCTTCAGCTGATCTAATAAATGAGGCTACCAATTTTTTGGCATTGCAGAGGTCTTCTGCAGGACAATCTTTCAAGAGCAAAGCAATTTCCCTGTATTCTTCAACCTTGTCTTCCTCCTCTTTTTCTTCCTCAACTCGCAATCTCTGCAATTCTTTGTTCTTCTCCCTTTGCCTGGCTTGCCATTCCTAATCGGGAGGAGGTTAGTCCCATCTTCAACATATACATGACGAGACAGAAAGACTATCCTTATTTAAATCCCTCTCCACATAGAAATGCTTAATTATTTAACTGCCTTGCCACTAAGAGCAGTAAAACCAAACCACAAATTTTACTGCCTAAATGCTTAATTAAGGTTGTTAGGTTCAAACTTTTCAGCATTCACATCCAATTATAAAATTTTAAAATTGGTAACGAAAAAGGAGAAGCAGAAGCTGAAGGAGAAAACAAATGCATACATCATCATAGAACTCTTTGGGAAGCCCTTCAAGGTCTTGTTCTTGGACTGACTTGCATCTGTGTGGAACTACAACTTAAAAGCACCAAATTAATGGCAAAAACAAACAATTATAAAAAGGAAGATAGGCAGCTTTAGAAGGTCAGTCAACAGCAAACGCAGCCGTAAAATGAACATGGAAGGTAGGCTTACCTAGGACGGTAAGAGGCTTGATTCTGAGAATAGTAGGATTTGGAATCTTCTGTGGAGCTTTCCAAAACAATGAAGCAGAGTTGTTGGGAGTGGGAAGAATCTGAAAGCATGTTATCTGGACGAGCTTTGTCTCCATTTCTAAGGTCGGAGGTTCTAAAACCCTCTCTGCCGAGCGTTATTCAGCCTCGCCCAGAATAGGATGGTGTTGCCACAACAAATAAAACAGGACGTTTGTAACAGCTTCTTGGAAAAGAAGGTCTCCTCCCACTTCTAAAACTATTGATTCTAGGAGTAAATTAGAGTACAGAAAATACACCTTCATTTTCACACAAACATTCCAACTTCTATTTTTGTTTCCTGAATCAGTTTTAAGAATTGTGTGAATCTAGTAGATTTTCAAAGGAATTTTATCAATTCAGAACCCGAAAGATAGATGAATTATCAATCTGGGAACTGAAAGATGATATGTATCGGTATAGGACCTGAATGATATAAAACTATTAATCTAGGACCTAACATTTCATAGGTTATGATTTATTTAATTTTTTATTAATTTCATTGCTAGTTTTTGATAAACTTGTCTTTACAAAATTTTATTAGTTTATTAAAACTAAATGATATTTAAAATTTTCAAAATAAAAAAATTAATAAAACTCATGACAACTTAGGCCCTAGATCGATAATTTTAAATCATTCAGGTCCTATAATGATAGTTTTTCATCATTCAGGTCCTACATCGATACATTTCGTCTTTTAGGTCCCGGATTGATAATTCATCTCTCTTTCGGGTCATGAATTGATAAAATTTCATTTTTCAAATCAAGTTGAAATTTTAACCATCATGGATAGCCCATTTCAATAATATATAGGGTGCTGTTCCGGTGAGAAAGAAGGCTTAGAAGAGAAATGAGAATCAAATCTAGTCATCTAATATATTAAATTAACGGTGAAGATTAAACATAAGTGAGATATGGTACATTGTAATTAAATTGAATTATTGAGGGCAATTATAATGGTAACACCAACGATATTAATGTCAAGGGCAAGGTTGTAAAATTCTTTAAACCGTTGAACTAATTTCCTTTAAAATCTCATTGTGATTTGTTCCTACGGTGAATAGCAAACTCACTTTCCTTAAATTTTGGATCAATAAATGCAAAGCCAAGATGCTAGAAACGTTTCAAATAATTATGAACTTCCCCACACAAAACTGATTATATATCTTTTAAATCATAAACTTGTGCATATGCAAAGAATAATTAGTAAAAAAATTGCAACACGCGCTTAGTAAAGTGCATCCCTGATATTTTTAGATTATATATATGTTATATGCATTGCATGTAGTTAAAATGTGCATCCCGAAGTGACAACTAAATAAAACATAATATTTAAAATGCATCGAAAAGGCTAAAAAGTGATATTATTGTCGAATATTGCGCATAAGAATTCAAAGTAATTATATATTTATATACAATTGCTATGTGCATAAGAAATTAAGAATGATAATACTAAAGTGAAAAACATATAATGGTTGTGCATAATGTATCCTGAATTCATTGAATTATATATGTGAATTTGTTGTAAAGTGCAAAAAATATATATAAAAAATGCATCATTCTTTCATATGTGAAAAATTCACAATTAGAATGATAGAAATGCACAAATTGTTAAATATAAATTTTATATGTATGCACAAAGAATAATATAATCGATACACTATATCATAATGCAAAAATTATTTGTCAAAAGTGCACAGTTAAAATGATGTAAATTAGAAATATTCATGAGTTTTTAGTATAATATGTAAAAAATCAAGTGTATAGGTAGAATAATAAAAAGTGCATTGATAACTAGAATAAGTGCATAAATTTGTTTAATAGAATGAACTAGAAACAAAAACAAAATAAATATATTTAATAAATTGAAAATATAATTGTAATAGTAAATATAAGTATTAATATGTATACGAAAGAACAAAAAAAAAATAGAAAATATATTGCTAGAGTAACTAACTAGGAAGCCTAATCAATGCACCTAAACAATAGGTTAACTTACTATTCGGATGTGATCACTACCAAAATGAAATGATGTGAATTCTCACATTTGCCCAACTAATTTATACGTAATTCCCTCAAGCTTTTAATCAATCCAATGGTCAAGAATTGTTCTTTTTTCTCTTGAGATCTTATTCTCATTTGAACCAAAACCTATATATATATATGTTTTGGTTCAAATAAGAACATGATCTCAGGAGAAAAATGAGAACGAATCTGGACCGTTAGATTTGCTTTAAGTGAAATTCAATGTGCATTAGATGAAACTGTAATGTGCATTAGGTGAAATTGAAATGTGCAACACAAAGCGTATGATACAATGTATTAAGTGAAGCTGAATTGTGCATTAGGTGAAATTGAAATGTGCACTAGGTGAAACTGAAATGTGCAGAATAAAAGGTACATGTGATGTTATTTTTGTACATTTTATTCGGCACATTTCAGTTTCACCTAATGCAAAATTGAGTTTTTATTCTGCACATTTCAGTATCATGTAATACACATTTAAGTTTCATCAAATGCACATTTCCGTTCCACATAATACAATCCAACAGTCCAGATTCGTTCTTATTTCTCTCCTGGGAGTCCGTTCTTACCGGAACCACTATATATATATATATATATATATATATATATATATATATATATATATATATATATATATATATATATATATATATATATATATATATATATATATATATATATATATATATATATATCACTTGTGTAAACACTCACGCATTTCTCAAACTCTATCCTCTATCATCTCATCTCTTAGGGTATGTTTGGGAGTTGAGTTTTGAAGGGCTGACAAGTGTTTATAATACTCTCTTTCATGTTTGGGAGTTAAAAAATACGGAGGAGGAGGTTGACAAGTGTTTATAACACTCTCTTTCATGTTTGGGAGTTAAAAACTACGGAGGGGGTGGTTTTGAAGGGTTTTTGTAACCCTCCAAGAATGCTCAATTTTCAAGTTCCCTCAAATTGGAGGATTTTGAAGGATAACTAATTAAATGACAACTTTAGCTCAATTAGAAATAAATATAAACTCAATTATTTGAATTCGTCATGTATGTGAAGTGATTTTGTTAGACATTATTGTACATTATTTTGTAACCTTATTTTTATGTACAAAATATGGAACGTACATAGGTAGCTTTTGTACCAGGAAAGGATTTGTACTCTTTAATACCTTCCTTATTTTCCACCGAGTAGGTAGCGCATGCAGCTTGTACGTAACTTGTATATATGGAGTTATCTCCTTATTGATCGACGAACGAATAAAACCAATATTCTTCCATATACATTTTCAATTTTACATCGTATCAGAGCAGAGATTTGGGACCTCCCATTCACGCACGAACAACAACGACATGGCCGGAGATGCAACGAACAGTGGCGGAAACGGCCAAAATGAAAGGCGGAAAATTAATGATCTGTCATCCCTGTATTATTTTTCGAATTCAGACTCTCCTAGGATGAATATTTGTGCGGTCGTTCTCAAGGGTGAAAGCAATTACCGGGAGTGGGCAACGGCCATGAAAAACGGGTTCCGTGCTAAAAGGAAATTGGGATTTCTTGATGGTACTATTAAATGGCCGGTGAACAACGCAAGAGACCTGGAGGATTGGTTGACAACCCACTCTATGGCAGTCAAGTGGGTGATGACCTCGGTGGACCCGCTTCAATTCTCCGAAGCAATCTCGCCTATATGGAGAGTGTGTCCGATCTCTGGGACGACTTGGAGGCTTGGTTTGCTGTTGGAGATGCGATGAGAACACATGAGTTGAAAGAATTAATTCGAAGTTGCCGGCAAAACGGGGAACCGATCACGACTTATTTTGGACGCCTCAAGGCATTGTGGGATGATTATGATGGACTCCGAAATTTCCCTCAATGTACGTGTGACGGATGTACATGTGATCTTCAGAAAAATTTCAAAAAAAGTAGAGACCGAAAAAACACATGATTTCTTAATGGGTCTTGATCACGAAATTTATGGAACCATGTGTTCCAACATGCTTAGTTCGGATGAACTACCATCACTCACCAAGGTTTATCACATGGTCATACAAGAAGAGCACCATCAAAATTTGACACGAGGGCAAGCGGCAAAACCTGAGGCAGTAGCCTTTGCTACTCGGACCGGATCCTTAGAAGGAGGAAACAAGGTTAAATGCACCTTCTGCCACAAGCCGGGTCACGTGGAACATTGCTTCCGAAGAACTGGAAACTACCCGGAGTGGTGGTATGACAACCCGGGTAGGGGACGTGGTGGTAGGAGCTGAGGGGGAGCTAACTGAGGTGGGACTGGACGTGGCGGATCTGGGCGAGGCTATGGACGTGGAACAGCGCACGCCATGCACGTGGGAGAATACCGGGAAGACGGACCAGTGTTGAACGAGGCAAAAGAAGTCAAAATGCACAAGCCCGGATTTACGGATAAGCAATGGCAGTCCTTCCTAAAGATGATGGGAAAATGTAAGCCTACACCAACGGATGAAAAAATGAGTGGCTTTTAGATTCCGGAGCATCCTACCACATGACTGGAGATGTAAAATTGTTAAAAGGAAAAACAAAAATAACCCATGTGGCAGTAGCTTTACCAAATGGAGTTATCACACAATCAAGTCACGTAGGGAAGGTTGTGATCAGTTCACAACTCACGCCGGTGGATGTTTTGTTCATGCCTGGGTTATAGTGCAATTTAATCTCTTTGGCACAGTTAATTGATAACCGGAAATGTGATATATTTTTTACTAATGATTTATGTGTGATAGAGGACCTACTTACGAGGACGCCGATTGGAGTGGGTGAACGTCGAGGGGGAGTTTATTATTTCCGGAGTCTGATCATGGACAGGCGCACGCAGTGACAGGATCGGGCTCAGGTGAATTGTGGCACTCACGGTTGGGACACCCGTCGGTGCAAGTTTTGCGTTTACTTGGTTATTTGAATAAAACTTTGTTGCATAGTGTTGAAAATAAAACGTGTGATGCTTGTGTGCGGGGCAAACAAACACGTGATAAGTTTGATATTAGTGTTGCTTGTGTTTTTGAACCTTTTGAGTTAATACATTGTGATGTATGGGGTCCATACCGGTTTCCATCTTCATGTGGTGCTCGATATTTTTTTACCATAGTGGATGATTTTTCTAGAACTGTTTGGGTGCATCTTATGCG